TTCTATTGTGGTTTATGCTGAAAGTTCGACACTACTTGCTATGAAAATTAATGACGTCATCTCAATTTCGCCAAACAGTAGTGCTCTTAGCATTTGGAATACGGTTTTAAGATTTCGGAACTTTAACCGCGATCCACACATTCTATGGAGACGTATAAGATTTAGTGCGTTATAATTTCCTTCCTTGATTAACTAAGATCGTACCAGCGTACTCATTTTCGCCGCGTTTCGAATGAAAATTGCAAAATACTGAGTGAACCGTGAATCATCGAGTAAACAAAACGAATACACGAGCTGAACAGTAACAGAGGCTTGAAATGTGTTCATGAAAATCTTGATTGTAAAAACCATCTAAAATGAATAAGGCTCGGCCACCTTTGACGAGTCTGGGTGACATAAACTTTGTTCAAATTATGATAGTCGCCGCTCAGCTCTGACCGCAGCTTGTTTGATGACAATGGCGGAAGAGATCACTGACAAAATTATTGCACGGGTAAAAAATCCTCAGTCAGTCAGTTGTTTCATAGCATTACTAGTTAACTCTTACCTAAGGCCGTCGACAACAGAGTGAAAAACAACAAGATAGGAAAACTCTTTGGCTCCATCATTCAAACACTTGGTAAAGCTTAAGTTCTTAATTCGCTTCGTTCCGTCTATTTATACGGCAAGAAATGAAACCGAATTTGCATATTGCGTTAGTGATGTCTATTCTATGACGTCAATGGCACAGAAATGTCACGCGATAGCAGGCCGCACCCAAGCTATTTCCTCATCAGCACATCAAATTATGTCACGTAAACAAAAGATAAGTTTAGAACCTCAAAATTCCATTGAGATAATTAAAATAAGGTGAAAAACGAGTCCCGAGAGCAAAAGCAATATACTGAGAATAAATGAAATATTTTTAGCCAGAAAACTATATTGTTAAACTTTCTATTATTGTAATAAGAAGTAAATAATTCCTTGTTTTAGATTTTGAGGTTTGGCATGGAAACCGAAAAATTCTGCAACACACCATTTCAATCTAATTTTGTTTTGGCCTGACTATTTCAGTATTTAGTACAAATCTGACTAGCATTCTATGACGAATGCCGTTCTCTGATTGGCTACGCTACTCACTACCTATTCTGTTGTAGGTAGTGTGCCTAGCAGTGTGCGGTCGTCAACAAAACGGTGTTTTAAAGTGCCTGTGAAGAAGAGTTTAAAGTGCCCGGGCTTTGTGTTTGTAAAGTGCCTGTGAAGAAGATTTATTTAGCTAATGTTAAGTTTTCTGAACGACTAGAGGATTTAAACAATTAGATCATTCGCTCTCGATTTCTATGCGTGATGATTGGTTAACTTGGGCTGCGCACTCTTCAACTATCACGCGACGTAAGTCTCGACCTCATAATCTAATCGTTAAATAAACTTCGGTGTGTCTTACATTTATAGAAAATCGTGGGGATTAGCCCGCAATGAAACAAGGGAACTTTTAAGCTCCCTTTAGTGCCCCATGAAAACCACTAAGGACTGGGAATGAGTCTAGTGAACGGCAACTTCCTATTTATGTAAATGAAACGTTTTGTTGTGCACAATAGGCCACGTTCGATATGTCAGGCTCCGAGGCTTTCGGGCCAAAATTTTAAATTGCCTAAGTTTCTTTTGTCTTTCAATTCCCAAAAGAGACTTGGAAACAAAGAAAACAACACCAAATATAGAAGAGTTTGTCCTTAAAGCCTTGGAGCCATGTTAGAATACTGATATATCGAACGTGGCCTAGACGCCGTTCGCCGTACTAGTACAGTGGCTCGTCGTCTTTTTCCTGTATCAAAATGTTTTCTCTAAGAAACAGACTTGCCGTGGGAGTCACGACACAAATAATTCGAGCATCTACAGGTATTTATTTGACGCGCGGCTTGCTGTCTTTTGTGGTCATCTTCATGCGAAAATTCTGCGAAAATTAAGCTCTGTCTGGACCTGTCTTCAATTTGAGTTTTCTTCTTGTTTGCGATGAAATAGAATTAAGCTTGATTCATTATAGGAAAATTGTTTATCGTACGTAGTAAGAAAAGTCGAGAGATAAAATGTGAGAAAGACTGCGGTTCCTTTGAGCGATGCATGATTCCTCGAAAATTGTCAATGACAAGGATTCACGGAAACTTAACAAGGGCGACTTACAGCAAAACGAAGTGAAGCGTGCCCCTCAAGAAATTATTGGAAAATTGGATCCACTAGTCGTTCCAAGAATACGGCTAATGGGCCTAATGTTAAAAAAAATCAATTAATTATTTAAGCAATACAAAACATGTACCGTGTTTCTATAGAATTATAGAAACACGAGTGGAAGTTTGGGAGAACGAGAAATGCTGTGGGAACACGAGCCGGAGGCGAGTGTTTCCACAGCTTTTTCGAGTTCTCCCAAACTTTCACAGCTCGTGCTAGTTCTGTGTTTCCATCGAGTTATAGAAACACGATTTTTAACCAATCAGCGCGCGTATTTTCTTAGGACTGTTTTCTAATGATTTTTGAAATTACTAGCGAGTTTGATACTCAAATAGTCAATTCATTATTGCATTCTTGAAACGACTAGCGGGTTAAATATTCAAATAATTAATTAATATAATCTTGAGGAACACGCTTCACTTGGTTTGACTGTAAATAATTTTAACTAACGAATAGTTACGAAGATGAAACCTTCAAGGAAAGAACGTAATATTCTGAAGCACGATCAACGAAAGTTGTTCCTTGGATTATAAGTGCTATACAGAGTTCTGGCCTCTNTAAGTTTCTTTTGTCTTTCAATTCCCAAAAGAGACTTGGAAACAAAGAAAACAACACCAAATATAGAAGAGTTTGTCCTTAAAGCCTCGGAGCCATGTTAGAATACTGATATATCGAAAGTGGCCTAGACGCCGTTCGCCGTACTAGTACAGTGGCTCGTCGTCTTTTTCCTGTATCAAAATGTTTCCTCTAAGAAACGTTCTTGCCGTGGGAGTCACGAGACAAATAATTCCAGCATTTGCAGGTATTTATTTGACGCGGCTTGCTGTCTTTTGTGGTCATCTGTCTTGACCTGTCTTCAACTTGAGTTTTCTTCTTGTTTGCGATGAAATAGAATTAAGCTTGATTCATTATAGGAAAAGTATTTATCGTCGTAGTAAGAAAAGTCGAGAGATAAGATGTGAAAAAGACTGCGGTTCCTTTGAGCGATGCATGATTCCTCGAAAATTGTCAATGACAAGGATTCACGGAAACTTAACAAGGGCGACTTACAGCAAAACGAAGTGAAGCGTGCCCCTCAAGAAATTATTGGAAAATTGGATCCACTAGTCGTTCCAAGAATACGGCTAATGGGCCTAATGTTAAAAAAAATCAATTAATTATTTAAGCAATACAAAACATGTACCGTGTTTCTATAGAATTATAGAAACACGAGTGGAAGTTTGGGAGAACGAGAAATGCTGTGGGAACACGAGCCGGAGGCGAGTGTTTCCACAGCTTTTTCGAGTTCTCCCAAACTTTCACAGCTCGTGCTAGTTCTGTGTTTCCATCGAGTTATAGAAACACGATTTTTAACCAATCAGCGCGCGTATTTTCTTAGGACTGTTTTCTAATGATTTTTGAAATTACTAGCGAGTTTGATACTCAAATAGTCAATTCATTATTGCATTCTTGAAACGACTAGCGGGTTAAATATTCAAATAATTAATTAATATAATCTTGAGGAACACGCTTCACTTGGTTTGACTGTAAATAATTTTAACTAACGAATAGTTACGAAGATGAAACCTTCAAGGAAAGAACGTAATATTCTGAAGCACGATCAACGAAAGTTGTTCCTTGGATTATAAGTGCTATACAGAGTTCTGGCCTCTTCCAGTGAATCGATATCAGGCGGTTTGAATTCCTGGAAATTTACCGATTGTAGCTGAATTCAGTGTGAATTCCTGTTTGGTAATGAAAAGGAATGCAGAGTTAAATTTCTCCTAAATGAAGGTAACGATATTAACTCTTCAAACATCGGACATGCCAATGTCGGCCAATTTTTCCACGCTACGCCGAAGAAATTTGAAAACGCAGCTTTATTTCTACGGTTAGACCTACCGTCCACACTAAGGGACCGTTCATTTTTTATAAGGTAGGGGGGGCTGGTGGGATTTGGG